GATTGGTTAAACGAAACAAATGGGACTGCTTTTCTTTTTCAAACAAATGTTTCAATATTTTTTGGCATCACTATGCCATAATTGAGACCGTCAGTTTATAACTGGATCAGTTATTCTCGAAGACAGCAGACCCATTTGATGTTTCTCGCGAAGTAATAAATGTAACTGCGATAGGAAGTAACAGGTGATTCTTCAATAGGAAATTTAAAGGGGATCAAGGTACTAATTTTAAATTAAGCCTTACAAAAGTTCTATTGAGGGTGGGGTGAATATTTTTTATAATTATTTATTTAGAATTTAATTCAGAATCCGGAAGTGCTATTATTTTGGAGCAAGATTCGCACCGATTTGCATCTCAAATGGCATGTTACCTATTGGTCATGATTACAATGGTTGATGCTTTTGACGAATGTAACAGAATACCGATGTCGTGATTTGATCGAGATGGGAATGATAATAAAAAATTGCAGATAGAAAGCACACTCTAAGCAGTATTATGGGTACTTTCAATATAAGTTAATAATAAGTGCAAGTCGTTAACAAGCTATGAGTCAAGTCAAGAATTAGAATCTCTCGAAGCAGAATCTCGCAGTTGCTGATCACGTCGTTTGTATGACTGCTGAAGTAAGGCATCTCTTCACATGGAAGAATGTAACATAATTGTCTTTCATGGTAAAATTTCTGCAACAGGTTTTCTAACTGACGTCCTAATGTCTGTCTATTTCTTCATTTGTAATCAAAATTATGAATGTGATAAGAATAGTTTCATAAATATCCTGTCAAATTGGATTGTTCACTTTATTTTTTATAGATGGAAGAAGATATTTAAGAGCCGTATTGTAAGAGCTTTCGAATCCTATTCTTATATTTATTCTTACGCACTTGGTGGAATTCTGTTTCTCCTGTTCTTTGGTAAGTAGTCGCTTCAGTAACTAATTATCTTATTATAATCATTATGGGTATGATATACTTTCTGTTTCCTATTCTTTCATACTTGATATAGCCAGCTAACTGCGGCCTGCACCAGATTTATAATACCCTTGATCTTTGGCACTACAATGCATTATCAAGAGCAACGGTTTTCCGGTAACTTTTCAGTTGCCTTTCTGTGAACTTCATTTTGTCCGTGCTCGTTATCATTGAGTTTTGAATGATGCCACTTTCAGTGGTGACAGCATGTGTTGTTCATACAGTCTGTAGTTGTTATACGTACTTGCTTCAGATTGATGGCCAAGTTTTGATATCTTCTTATTTTCTCCACTGATGATTTCTCCACTGCACATTTTCGTCCACTGGAACAGCAGCATCAACTGTTTCAACTAACCTGTTAATATAATCCAGGATTAATATGTCTGAACGAGTGTGATCAACGGCACGATTGTCTGATCGAAATGGATAGTACCTTGTTCGTTCTCAAGCACGCTCTCTGAATGGTGTAGACGATTAAGCGATTTTCCTATAGTTTTTAGTAGGCACCACCTTATCCTTGTGTTCCCGCGAACAGTCTTCCCTTTCGAAACCAAGCAGAGACTTTTCCAAATCGATTAAATCAGACGTTCATGAACATCATAAGGCCCATGAAGAGCTTTCGTGCTCCATTCATTAAGTCTTGGTATTACACTTTTGTTTTCTACTCTATGCTTATAATTAAATATGGATGTATATAAATCATTAAAAACAATGGTACCAGATTGAAACGGCGAAAATGCAATGTGAAGGAAGAAAAATGTCTGTTTTATTCTACACCACCAGCACTACTGCACTGCCCCCTTCTTCTAGACACATAGGGGATCGTTTAAACAGGTCATAACTCTATAGTATTTAAGCTCCTGCATTGCGTGGGACGCAGGAGCGCGTCTCAAGTTTGCGTTGAACAAAAGTATATTCAACCAAAGATGATTACCACGATCCGACATATATAAGACATCAGGGTTATATTTTGTCACTTCGCCTACGCATCATGGCAATCTTCCTTTCTTCACACTGTGCATTTTCGCTATCATCATTATTTTTAATGTGCAATATTCAGTCGCAGTATCGAAGACGCTCCCACGACATCAGAGTTATATTTTGTCATATACAAATCATTTGGTTAACGCATAACTGGTTCAAAACCAGGTTTCATGGTGTATTACTCCTCTGCTTTGCTAGTTATATGTTTATATTATGATGCTGTACTTATTTATGTAATAATGATATTGTGGTTATAACTTGTTTTTTATAACTCCTTTGTTATAACTTCTTTTTACGAACGGGGTGGCTTAATCATGAAAGCAAGTCCAAAAGGTATCAGTAAACGAAATAAGGCATTGCACACCCTGTGAAGTATGGCGGCAATGTATTATCGATAGACTGTGCAAGGTTCATGATTAAGGCCTGTATAAATTCCAAAACGATCGGTTTGTGGAATGATTAAGGAAAAGATCGCTTCATTGGTTAAATGCTTATACATTTACTATCGGTTTTATAAATGGCACTACTGTGTTTGAATATAACTTTTCCTATGCTCCGTATCTATTTTGCAAGGCACTGCACAAGCCACTGTTCGACTAATTGTGACTATAAAGGGCAACTGCAAGGCTGCCCCATGCAGAACAGAAAATTTCATACATCTTCCGTTTCGTTCATAATCAAATGCCTAGAGATAGACAGGTTTAACTGTCAGATGTTTAACTTTTGTTTTGCAAATTCAGCTTTTTTTAGTTTCTTCCTCTTATTTCTTTTTCTGCTAGGACTTCTTGTTTCTTCTTCCTGTTGTTCTTTTTTTCATTCTTTTGTTGCTGTTTTTCCTAACCTTTTGTTTCTTGCTCTTCCTGCTATTCATATTTTTTGTTTGTTGTTTATCTTGTTTTTCTCTTTTTATTCTTCTTACACAACGTCTTGCTGTGAAAATAAAATCGACTCTTCAGGAAACAAGCACGCCATTGTTTGCGCTGCACAACAAAGCAAACCAGAGGCTTGTGCCAGTTTAAATAATTTCTTAGGAAGGAATAACTTGTGAATAATAAGGAATAACTTGTGTAATAAATGAAATTCCTCGTTGATTTATGACTGTTATTTTGGAATGCCATTAACCTAAATGGAAACTGAACAGCTGCTTTTCAATTATAAAATGACTGACAATAGATTTCTGTTACTTCAGTCGAAGTCATGTAAAAGTTTTGTTGTATTTTTAATTTTTTCCAAAGTTCAGACGCGATACGAGAAGTGAAAAAGTATGGATTTACCGAATCTCTTTCTGATTTCCAGTACCAAGTGGCACAAGTCGATGCTGTTGTTCACATGCGCCTGTTTCGTGCACAGAGAAACCTCTACATATCTGGATTCGCGTTGTTCCTGTGGCTGTAAGTCATTGTCTTTATATGCGTTTTCTGGTGTTCTACGTTTACCTCCAGCGGATTAATGGAAAACTCTGAAAGCCACTCATTATTTTGATCCATGACACTCCGGTTGAATCACTGAACCACACTGGCCTTAAGTGAATGTTATTATGATGCTGTCAGAGTATTTTTAACAGCCTTAGGTAACATGTGTACAGTCACACACAGCCATCATAAATCGGGACAAGGCACATAATTCTTCTAAATGAAGTTTTAGTTGTCCTGTGCGAATCCGTGTCAGTTAGCGTAAATAATGTAGTCTGGGCACAGAATGGATGAGTCTCCTTGCAGCAACAACGCAAGAGCTACTGGAAGCATGTTATACACTAGATGACGCCTTTGGGCTCTTTTGTGAACCCAGAAGAACAACACCCACAGTATGGAACATCTGAGGAGATGGGTTGAAGGATTAGTAGCCGACTTTGTTCTTATAGCTATTTTAGTTTAGTCAACACCATCTTCTGTTCAAAGAGTAAACAGTATGTTGCTGAGGGAAAGATAGTCTGTCATACCACCTTTGAAA